GTTACAATAATCAGCCAAATTTGCAGAGAAGGTTCAGAATAAGTAATATAGGCAAATGGTGAAGAAAAATTTATTTTAAAAAAATCTCAATAATCTGTCCTTTTTATCTTTTAAATACAAAGTGTGTAGTAATGCATTATTTTAACTTTGACAATTCTCCACCATACTAGAATGAAATCCCATACAAAGTTTACTCTCAAAAACAGAAGGATATCAACACTCTGGTAGTGCAGGATAGTATTTCACTCTCCATTTTTGTTTTTATGTGATTTAAGAGTCAAAAGCCAACTACAATATGTTTTGTCTTATTATTGTTACAGCCTCTATGCTAATTCAGATTGCAAGGCATTTGTAATGTGTTAAAACTGAATGTAGAGAAAAAGTGCCCACTCCCCATCATCATCCACTTACCATCAGGTGGATTGTGTACTTGAATGTCACATTTATTGTATAAAAAAACATTATTTCAGTTCATCAATCCCTCCCCCACTAATTGTCACTAAACCATACCAATTGTACAAGTACAATGTGCTATTAATAATTCTGACTAACATCGTTATTTCCTGAAACCTACTGCAACCTATATATTTATTCAAACATATAGCTGTCCCCCGCAACTTCGCCCCCATGGAAATTAACCATGATTTCATGGGTTTTAATTTTTTTGTGCGGAACTCTAATTCTTTTACTAAAATAAAAGTATCGTAAGTTACTTCTTATAACATCAGCTATTTGCTGCCCAGCCCAGTTGAATCCGTCGATTGACCTCTCGGTCAAAGTTGGACTTACCTAGTCGGACTATTTGTCCCAGATAAACATACTCGTCAACAACTTCGAGCTTAGTGCTCCCAACAACTACCGGCATAGGTGTGACATGGACATGATAAACATGATCTTTGTTTTGTCCATGTTCATCTTAAGACCTATCCGTTGGGAAGCACTATTGAGGTCATTGAGCATAGTGCTTAGGTTCTCCAGCGATTCTGCCATAAGGACTATATCGTCGGCAAATCGAAGGCGAGTAATGTAATCGCCATTGATGTTGATACCGTATCCTTTCCAGTCCAGAAGCTTGAAATAGTCTTCCATTGCAGCGATGAAGAGTTTCGGGAATATGATGTCACCCTGTCTTACACTTCTCTGCAATTGGATAGGTTTCGTACTCTGGTTCTGTACTCGGATAGCCATCGTAGCCCTACTGTACAAGCATTTCAGCACTTCGATATACCGACAGTCCACATGGCACCGCTGAAGGGACTGCAGCACCGCCCAAATTTCGACGGAATCAAAAGCTTTCTCATAGTCCACATATGCCAGACATAGTGGCAAATTGTACTCCTCTGACTTTTGTACAATTTGCGGAAGGGTATGTATGTGGTCTATGGTGCTAAAGCCTTTTCGGAAACCGGCTTGTTCGGGAGGCTAGAAGTCGTCAAGTCTGCGCGCGAGACGATTCGTAATGACTCTCGAAAACAGCACGTAGACGGGGCTCAGAAGGGAAATCGGTCTGTAGTTCTTCAAGAGAGCGTTGTCGCCTTTCTTGAAGAACAAGTCCACCGCACTTCTGCTCCACGCCTCCGGTGTAATGCCACCATGGAGGACGGAATTAAAGAGCTTCTGAAGGACTTCAAGTACCGGTTTTCCACCCGCTTTCAGAAGCTCCGCTGTAATTCCATCCTCGCCTGGGGCCTTGCCGTTTTTAAGGTGCTGGAGAGCCATTCTAATCTCGCTCAGACTGACGTCCGGGATATCATCGGAATAATGTCGGATAAGACTCGCTCTTGGATCGTTAGTCACACTCGCGTGTGGCTCCAACGATGACGTGTACAGCTGCCCATAGAACCTCTCAGTCTCACTCAAAATCTCAGGTGCCCCGGAAACGATGCTGCCACACTCTGTCTTCAGCTTTGACAGTTGGCTCTTTCTGGCAGACAGATCTCTGGCAAAGACTTTGGAGCCTTGGTTCCGCTCGATCGCTTCTTCAATACGAGCTGTATTGAAGTTGCGTAAGTCCCGTCGCATGCATTTGGAGATCTGTCTGTTCAGTTGCCTGTATGCTGTCAAATCTGTTGAAGAATGTAGCTTCATCTCCCGTCTAATAGCCATGAGATTAAGAGTGTGATCGGAGAGTTTTTGTGTTCTTCTGCGGCGGGTCTTGCAGAACTTAGCTCCGACTGCATGGACAGTTTCCACGAGCTTGTCATTCATACCGTCCACTTCATTGCAGTCTTCTAGGCACTGAAAACTGTTTTGTAACTCGAGCTGAAAGGTTTCGGGACTTTGGATTAGAGCACGAGGGGGACGGAGCGTTGACTTCATTAGACGAGACCTCTCCAACTTAACGTTTAGGTTCAGTGTGCCTCTAACCATTCGGTGATCGCTACCAGTTTTCACCCTCGCGATCACGGAGACATCACTGAACACACTGGTCCACTTCCTGTGGGGCCGCTTCTGGAAGAAAGAGTTCATCATAAAGAGTCCCTCTTTCTCCATGAAGTCGGCCAGCTGCTGGCCCCTTGAGTTCCGTTGCCCTATTCCAAATTTCCCTACCTTCAGCTCACCATTCTCTCTTGTGCTTAGTTTTGCATTGAAGTCTCCCATTAACACCGTATATTGGGTTTTGGAGGAATGCATGGCTCTAGAGATGTCCTCATACATTTCCTCCACCTCCTCAACGGGGTGTGTCGAGGTTGGTGCGTAAACCTGTATGACCTTCAGCGAATACCGTTTGGTGATTCTGAGTATACGGTACGCAACCCTCGTCGACACACTCTCAATCTTTACAACGTTATTAACGAGAGACTTGTGGACGATAAATCCGACACCTCCTTGGGACAGATGGTCGCCCCCCCCGGTAATAGAGCAAGTTGCCGGGTTCGAGGATTACCTTTTCTTCCCCCTCTCTTCGGACTTCGGATAATCCTATAATATGCCAGCGTAACTTTTCTATCTCTTCTTCCAGCTCCACAATCTTCTCGTCAGTCCTCAGGGTGCGTGCGTTGTATGTTGCCAGGTCGAGTCGTCGTAGGTGGCAACCGAACCTCCACCGGAGATTCTTAGCACCCCTTGCCCCACCGTTACCATGGTCGCTACCGAAGCCAAGAATAGCGGGGCCGCCGGGGACTGGGGGCCGTCTCTTAGTAACTTTTTCCATTTGGGGGGTATTTGCCATAGTTGCCACGCTTGGCGAGCGGGTTGGCAACCACAGTTTTTTATTGTATTTTTGCTGTTATCAGGAAGATGCTGCTGCCCATCTCCTGCCTGTTTCCCTTTGCGACACCCACGGGAAGATATGGGGTAGTGGATATTCTTAACCGCCACTACACGGCACTTTTTTTATAGATGTATAGATATATTAAACAAAAAGAAAGTTACTTTTTATCACTTTCATACATTTTGTCATATTCATTTATTACCGCCTATCAAAATTCCACTGCTAAACATAAATTCTGAGGTTCCATAGATTGCCTCATAGCCTCTGCAGGCTGATTGACAACCAATGTTTTTAATTATTTTGAGTTTTTATTAGGATATATGTGGTAGAGCCACGCTGCAGTTATATTATAGTTGTGGCGGGAAGGGTTCAGCTCGACCAGGGTAGGACCACACTCTCACAGAACACCAGCAAAAAATAGCCACTTAATACTGCTGTTTTGTATGGTGAGAGTAGAGAACCAGAGACCCTTTTTACTGGAAACGAGGAATTCCATTTTAGTCCTCAGGGGTGACAACGCATCTGCATTTTGATTCGTAATTAATGATAAATGTAGTTGGTATATGGGTCGCAGCAGCCATTTACCATTTTTGTCACTGTTATTCTATAAAAAAAGCCATCTCCCGTTTTATTTCCCTTATTATTATTTCTTATGAAACTCACAGGAAGTTAATTTCAGAACAAACAATAAACTTTTAAAACAAACCTGGTCTGGCAGAAATCTACAGATTGCTATCATCTCCTGCGTAAACTCCTCAAGAGTTATATTATGTTTAATGTAGGTTATCATCACATCTCCACTATACACGGTTTTCACACGCACGTCGTTCGCGTGGTTATCCTGTACTAGTTGAGTTGGCATCATATCACAGTTATAAAAACTTTAAGTAAATTAAGAGTCACCAAGAGTTCCTGAAAATTACAATAACGCATTTATATATTTTTGTATAAAGCAAAATTTGTCCAATGAAATTTATGTCAATAATATTATCATAACATGATAGTGTTGAAGTTAAGTTTCGGTTCAAATTATAACCTAATGTTAATACAAGTTCCACAATAATTATGGTAACAATTTGATAGTTCACAACCATAACTGACTAGCCTAGTTAGGTTGACAAGGCCTGCACTCCGATTTGGCGCAAATATTATAGACAAAGGTGCAATAACATGGATAACATTCCCATTATATGAATCATTTTCAATAGTACACAACGACAAGCCTTGACTAAATATGCTATATAATCGTCAAAATAACGAAAGTTTAGTATTATCCTAACAACTTCATTTATAAAATTCTAAAGTAAATTAAATTTACTGTACCTAATTTTAAAAAAGGAATATCAACAAAAATTGACACAACAACATTGAGTTGACAAACCAAACTGTCAAACTCAGTTTCCGATTCAAGGAAGAGAAAAATAGAACATAACTTTTATAGCAGGAGAGAACAGTATATTGTACTCTTTTTAACATCTAAGACTGAGAATGAATGAAGGAGACAAGTAATTCTTGTAAAACAGACCAAAAAGACAATGGTTGTTAATAATATATGACGGGAACGTAATTCGTTGAGAAATAATCTTTCAGTATTCTTAGCAATATTTTTATGTATTAAACTTGTATAATGGTTTTTACCTTTGTGTGATATTAATAATACGTATCGCTTGAATTGTTTATATTTAATGTGTTCTTTTTATTTTCTTTTCTGTATTATCAGATAAATTGATCGTATCAATAATAGAAAAATACCGTTATAAAACGCAAACACTTATGTCAAATTATCAACTAAGCCATCACTGGAACTGAAACCTAGAAGGGTTTTTTATTTTAATATTAATAATTTTAACCGTGATTCTAAATCACTTTATTTATCCTGTTGTTAAGTTGTTCAAAGTTTAAATAAAACATGGTAAACATTAGTTTCTACTAATATATAGCAACAGTTACAAAGCGCTCGAAAAGTATTTGTTATGGTTTTGATGATGATGACTAATACTTAATTTTATTAACTACATATTATTTAACTTCCTTCCAGACGGAGCAACAAATGGACTGTGCATTAGATTTAATGCGCCGATTACCTCCTCAACAAATAGAAAAGAATTTGACCGATTTAATTGACCTAGTCCCGAGTCTTTGCGAGGACCTTCTGTCGTCTGTAGACCAACCCTTAAAAATCGCTCAAGATCGCAGCAACGGAAAGGATTATCTTCTTTGCGATTACAACCGTGATGGTGATTCATACCGTTCACCTTGGTCTAACACATATGATCCACCACTTGAAGATGGTTCTATGCCCTCAGAGAGATTGAGAAAATTAGAAATTGATGCTAATCATGCATTCGATCAATATCGTGAAATGTATTTTGAAGGTGGAGTTAGCTCTGTTTATTTGTGGGACATGGATCATGGCTTTGCAGGTATTATATATTAATTAATAAAAACTAATAATGTGTTCATATTATTCGAAATTAAAGTAAGAATCATGTGTGATTATGAACAAATCCTGTCTAATTTTCTGCCGACTTTCAAAACGGATACGGTATTCAATTCAACTATGTTTTTTTTTTGTTTTTCTTTATGTGTTACCTCATAACTTTTTACTGGGTGAACCTAATTCGATGATTCTTTTTTTATGTGAAAGCTGATACTTCTTGTGTGGTTCCATATGAATTTGATCAAGGTCAGACCAATTGTTTTTGAGTCATTCTTAATAACTTATATCGAAGTCGGCTGTACAAAATTTTTTATCTTAAATTATGTTTTCTTCTCTTGCAATAATTTGCTTTCAACAGAGTTGTAAATTTTTAAGATAATGTTTATTTATATTTTATACTAGCTGTCACTCGCGACTTAGAATAGAATTTTTTATTGGCCTGCATAGAATTTTCTACGATTTCAAGGGTTTTAATTTTTTTGTGCAGACCCCTGATTGTTTTTCTAAAAAAAGTATCCTAAGTTACTCCTTATAACATCAGCTATCGGTCCAGCGGTTTTGGAGGTTAGCCGGAACAAACAGATAGAGATACAAACAGACAGACAAAAATGTTAAAAATTGTTTTTTTTTTGTTTAGTACTGTATATACTTTCATGTGCATTTAGTGAAAAGCTGTTATTTTATTTATTTGTATAGATTTACACAGTTATGTATTATATAATTGTTAATTTCAAAATCTGAACTACTCGCTCTATATTTTATAGAATTAGTCATTTGTATCAAAAACATAAATGCAATAAAAGTTTAATTAAAAATGTTATTGTCATCATCAACCAAGAATAATATAAGATGGTTCATATCCTACACCACCAGACGATTAGCCTATAGCCTGCTACTGGCATATGAAGGGTTGTTACAGAAGGTAAAAAAAATATTTACAGGTGGCAAATACCTCTTGAGTCTGTATTGAGTATGAATAATAATTAGGGATGGCAATCCAGCACTGTTTTCAATCCAACGGGATTTTTGCTGAATTTACTTCAATCCAGCAGGATGCAGTGGAACCCGCAAATGTTATAGTTTTTTTTTTTTAAATTTGTGTAAATATTCTTTGTTATGGTATAATCAAAGGTTTATTAAAAATTACAAAAGTCGACAAATCTTATTGCACGTAATTGACTTATTATTTTACTGTTTCATTACTTATTTATTAATAAGAAGTGCAAGAACTAACAATTATCAATATTTGGTAATTTTGTGACTAGTCTCTAGTTAATTAAAAATATTACTTCTAATCTGTATCTGAGGTAATTATAATCAGTCTCTTTTATTCAGAGATTTAGATTGTCATATGAATTTATTTTACTTACAGCCTTAATGTTTCTTACTAAAATAAAGAATGAATAAAAAATGTAGCAAATTTATAAATATCAAATAATAAGTCAATAGTGTTATCTCCTAATCTACTTCTTACATAATTACACATGTAGCCAGCGGCCGAAAAGGCTCTCTGCCACCGCACTTGTTTGTTTGATAGTTAATAAATAGTTGTGCAACAAACTCTCACTCCATCAGTTTAAAATGCTGACATTTCTTGAATCCAAGGTGCAAAACAAAGGACTGAACAGCAACGTGGAGACAACCAGTGTTGCGCACCACGCTGCAAAGGGATTTTTTTTTTAAATACTAGTAATACTATCTAACATTACTAATATTCCCTTTAACCACTTCTGGTAAGCTTAAAATGCTTGTGTTAGAAGTGGTTCACGACAGTAGTCGAATGACGGGTTCGAACCCACGACCTTTCGAGTTCGTGGTCCGTGCCCTGCCATTAGGCTACTGACGCTTCAAGATTTAAGATGACAAATTTGAATGGATTTGCATGATATGATGCTTGCGGGTTGTTGCGGGATCCTGCAGTTCTTAAACTTATGTTAGATCCTGCTGGACTGTGGGATCCCACTTTGCTGGATTGCAATTCCTAATGATAATGTTATTAAAACATGTTGAAGAAAAATTGTCAAGTACTATTATGCCTTGCTTTAATTAATCAGACATATCCTCATTGAAATTTTAATTATATAAAATCTTTAGACGTTAATAGCAATTATAAGATTGAAATTGAAAACTTGCAGACTGCTCTAGATGGCAGTGCTATTATTCCTTGTTTTTCTAGGGTCAATTCTCACTTTGGAGATATCTCTCATGTACTCCAATATAGCTAAAGTAAACAAACATTTATTGTAACTGCTAACTTTTTTTAAATTATGCTAAGATTTATATAATTGAGAAGTATTGTTTATATCATAGTTTGCCTTAAATTTTTTTCCAGGTGTGATTCTTATAAAGAAAGCTGGTGATGGCTCCCAAAAGATAAAAGGCTGTTGGGACTCCATCCATGTTGTAGAAGTTGTGGAAAAAAGCTCAGGTCGGAATGCACACTACAAGTTGACCTCCACAGCAATGTTGTGGCTGCAGACTAATAAAGAAGGCAGTGGCACTATGAATCTGGGGGGAAGTTTGACTAGACAGGTATACTTTATAAATTATAGTATATATTTATATTTTTATGCCTATATACATTTATACAGTCAACCTGATGGTAAGTGGATGCTGTGGCCCATGGTCATCTAAAATACAGATGCATTGTCACCCCTGAGGACTAAGATGGAATGCCTCATTTCCAGTAAAAGGCAGCATTAAACTGCTATTTTACGCTGATATTCTGTGAGAGCATGGTCCTACCCAGGTTGAGCCGACCCAGTCATGCTACAACCATAACATAGGTGCAGCATGGCTTTACCACGTAAAATTCTCTGATCACTTTAGCATAAAATTATAAACCAAATTGAAATCATCACCATTACAAGTATTACAACAATAACATTTCAACAACTCCTACTAATGTCTACTTATTTCTTTATTGATCTAGTATGTACATTGTACATGTCAGGTGAACACACATTGTTTCTAATAGTAATTTGCATCCACAGTGGCTCATACATTTTCAACCTCTTTCATATTAATATCTCCCTCATGTATTATGAGCTGCTTATCCTACCTTAGATTTCAGTCAATTCACATGGACCATAATCTGCAATCCACACAATATAAAAATATTTGTGAGCTCATCCTCATCTATTATGATGGCAATATATTTTGTTCTTCATAATGTATTATATATTGAGCCATGGTACCTCGTTTGGTTAGTGCTTGCTGTAAGTTTTACAGTATGCGAGCAATTAATACATAATATGCGGGTGCGATGCCCGCCGGCACCAACGAAATTGTTAATTGCAATTTTAAGTGCTGATTTGCCACATGTTCGGCGGTGAAAGAAAACATCGTGAGGAAACCTGCATGTCTGAGAAATAAAAAAATATTTCGAAGACATGCAAAGTTCGCCAACACGCATTGCCCCTAATGGGCAGCACAGTGGAAATTTCCTTGCCCTAAAACACTCAGAAATGAGGGGAGGCCTGTGCCCAGCACTGGGACGTATGTAGGTTGTAACTTTAAAATATATTATTGTGTTCATCAGTACAAGAAACAATCACTTTGATCTAAAATAATGGTACAACTAAACTCAAAGTTAAAATATAGTCACTAACAAACTACAATCACTGTTGCTTTTGAATTTCTTTACTGCCTCCTATGCGAGTTCTGTTACACACTCCAACTAAATAGGCAATCAAAGAACACTTCCCATAACCATATTTTAAACCTCTCTGTAATATTATTATATTTCACAGGGACAGTAATAAGAATAAAACATAATATCAGTAATATTTCATATATTAAGAAGTGCTTAATAAAAAGCCTATTAACATTGACACAAAGATAGTTATAGGAATATCGAAAAAAAACATGCACATAAAATGAGAACCAACAGCACCAGTTTAAATTGCAATTTTATCTGTCGATTTACTATATGCTCAGCAGTTAAGGAAAACATCGTTAGAAAGTCTGTGTGTAATATATATAATTATGAACAAACAATTTTGTATACATGTGAAGTTCGCCAACATGTACTAGAGTAGAAGAAATAACTGCTCTAAAACCATTGCAAAGTGAAAGAATGTCTTTGCCCAGTTGTGAGACGTACTTACGCTGCAATTTTCTTTATTTATTTTCACCAAAGTTTTGTTACAAAAATTATTAGTGTATTGTATATTATTTGTTGACATTTTAATGAGACAAGTGAAGGCGAGTACATGACACATGAGGAGACATATTTAACCTTACCATAATTTAAAGAGCACGATTTCTTTTCACCATAGTAGGATAAAAGATACTAGGGGAAAATAAAAACAATATGATTATTACTTCAACATTTCTTGAAGTTGCTGTTATGGTTTGGTAGTTTAATGATTACTAATGGCCGTCCAGTAGTCACTTTTTTTTGAAACTTGTATATTATTATTAGTGCGCACATTAAGCAATAAAATCTGTACAAAGCTTACTTCATATATTAATATAAAGATTTAGTACTGGACAAAAAGCAAATTATTGCTAGAGTTTTAAATAATGCATTAAATCCATCTATGTATTTAAATATTAAAGGTTATTTATTTATTTATTACAGGCAGAACAAGACTCTGCTGTGAGTGATGTAACACCTCATATTGCTAACATTGGGCGCATGGTCGAAGACATGGAGAACAAGATCAGGAATACTCTAAATGACATCTATTTTGGTATATTAATTATTTGATTCTCGTTATTTTGTTCATCATCATCATTACAGCGTTTCACAAGTGCACCGCTGGTGCCCACAAAACACAGCTACCAGCAACCAGCGACTTACTTGCATATCTAACCATGTTGTCTAGTGGGTATCCATCTAGTGCCCCCTCTGGGGGCAGGGGGGACTACACTTTAATAAGCAGGTTGATGCTGCCACTCAAGAACCTTCCTCTGCCATTGGCTGTCGATTCTTCAATCTATATGGCTCCTCCATTGTCACTTAAATTGACAGATCCATTGGGCTATAGTGGTTACTCTGGCTTAATTGCGGTGTACTGTTAGGGGTTCAGAAATAGGTGGGTTCTTAAAAAGCCAGAATTTATAGTAAATTATTTATTTATCTTACTTCCGCACACGTATAAGTAAGTTCTATGAAGGGGATCACTGGCCTGACGTAGGGGCGAAGTCCAAGCGCTGTTCCCTCAGGGTCGTAGACAGCCAGCTAGCAGAAGGAGCCAGTGATACCCAAGCCCAACAGTGATGAAGGCCGTTGGTAGGAGGGTAAAACTCCGTTAGCTTGTGGCTCGGCAAGCAGTAGTCCTTAGGTAGTAGGTAGATGCTTAGGTAGTAGGTAGATGCTCAGGTAGTAGGTAGATGCTTAGGCAGTAGGTAGATGTTCAGGTAGTAGGTAGATCCCCAGCGGGATCAACTGCACCTCGAATAATTTAAATTTTAATTGTAGGTAAGCAGGTTCAACGGTCGTTAGTAGGAGGGTCACGCGTGTTGCGAACTTGAAGCAGTCTCAGGTAGAAAAATAAATAATGGCCCAAACGGGGACTCGTCGTCGTGTCCGAATCCTACCGAGTCTTTTGTTTTAGAGATCGGTGAGCAAAATGGTTCACGCTGCGCGGATTAAATTAACTAGTCTATGGTTCCGTAGAATAACTATTTTAAATTAACAATATGTTATAATTTATTACTTTTTATTTTTAGATTAGAATATTATATTACTATTATTTATTTAAGATTATATCTATATTATTATCTATTTAAGATTAATTAATTATAAGTATTTGTAAGGGTGCATTCAGATGCACCGTTACAGTGGCTATTCTCATAACAAAGTCTATCACGCAGAGAAACTTAGCATAACCATCTCCATAGCTGGCTAGGTTTAGGTTATTTTATATTGTTTTATTTTAGTTAATCCACTGCTTTTTGAAGGTTGAAATAGCTAGCATGCATTACTTTAAGGATTTGCCCATTACTCACCACACTGAACGGTTGTTTTGATGAGAGTAATTTTTTTATAGAATAAGGGTGAAAGACGAGCACACAGTCCACCTGATGGTAAGGGGATACCGTGGCCCATAGACATCTACATTTATTATTTACCCTCCCACTGCTCCTACTCCACATTACTAGTCCTTCCAAGTTGTATATTTTGAATCAAAGTCACAATATTACACAGGAACAAATTGAGCTCAATTGTTTAGTCAAACTAAGTTTAAATTAACAGTTTATGGAGACATTTACATCAGTTGCTACACACAGTTGTTTTATTTTCTAGGTGTTAGTAGGAAAACGCTGCTGCCCAACACCTGGTTTTTGTTTACATCTGTGGCCTCTCTTACTTAGGAAATTAACTGCTTATCAAATCGAACAAAATCCATTTGTGCCTAATTAACTCTTTATTTATTAGTGTTTTTTTTTAAATTTTAATACCATGCTTGGTATCAGAGCGGTAGTAACAAAATGTATGCTATGCGACGAAAAATTTAAAAATATTAGTGATTAACTCCACTGCTAAATTTGTCTAAGAATATTTTTGTATGAGTTTCAGTAAAAAAGTCATATATCATAGACCGTGATTTATAACAATTTTGATTAAAAAAAACTGTAACATTATAGTGAATAAATCTAAAAATTGGATTACAACATTAATCAATAATTATAGTTACTCGTCAGTCGCTATTTTCCATTCTATTAATTAGGAAGAGATGTCTTTAAGTATAAAGCATGACTAATATTTTTAAGTAATCTTGCATGTACTTACAATAAAAACTAAAACTGAACTTCTAAACTAAAAATTAAAATTTCAATCAAAAAATTAGTTTTAGGGTATTGTTACATAACAGGTCTCTTCTCATTTGTAATAGGGCTATGGAGCAATTAGTGCATGGTGCACTGCGATGTTCGAAATCGAAATCGAATCGAATGCTAATTTCTAATCGTTATTGAGTTTTTTTTTAAAATCGATAAAGCATATACTTAGGAATTTCAAATTGCTTATTTATTATAATCATTATCTGTGAAAATAAATCGATTTCGTTCTCTATTACAAAGAGTATTTTTAACTACTTAATTAAATTGAAGTGTATGTTTGTTATGTCAAAATATCAGCTTTTAATAAATGCATAAGAAAATATATATTATGGTACTTATAAACAAAAATTATAATTTTTGTTTGTCTGTCTGTTTGTTCCGTCTAATCTCCGAAAAGCTGATGTTATTAGGAGTACCTTATGCTACTTTTATTTTAGAAAAAGAATTATGGGCTCGCGCAAAATAATTAAAACCCATAAAATTCAATCGTAATAAATACCATCCGGACGAAGTCGCGGGGAACAGCTAATTCGTACATTAGTCGCAAACTTCTATACTATACCATTACAATTAAATACTCAATTTTGTTTATATGTTACCCTGTCAACAGGCAAGACAAAAGATATCGTGAATGGCCTTCGGTCTGTTGTCCCCGCGGATGTTGCGCGGAAGACTGCGGCCCTACAACATGACTTGGCTCTCGCGCTCCAACGTCGCAATGTGGTTAGAACCGACTGAGCAGAGGTATTGCATACAGGTATTAATGCACCAGCTAATAATATTTTTTTTTATAATATAAGGGTGACAAACGAACACACAGTCCACCTGATGGTAAGTGGTTATAGACATCTACATCTATCCTCGATTACAAATCTAAATGCAAGAGCGTTAACACCCGTGAGGACTAAGATGGGATGCCTCGTTTCCAGTAAAAACGGTCTCCGGTTCTCTACACTCACCATACGAAACACAGCAGTGTTAAGCTGCTATTACGCTAGTATTCTGTGAGAACGTGGTCGTTCCCCGGTCGAGCCGACCCATTCGTGCTACAACTATACTACTAATATAGCTACAGCATGGCTCTACCACGTAAAGAAAATATATTTTCAAGGTGTAGTCACAAATCATTGTCAGTCTTTTTTAACACCTGACGAAAACAAGGATGTTATATGTTAGTAGTGTGTTATTGTGTATCTGTCTGTGTTTCTGTCTGTGGCATCATAGCTCCTGAACGGATGACTTAATCGAAAATGTTCTTAGCTACATGTCAAGAAAATCAATTCAGTTGTTTGAAGATCACCAGCTCTTTTTGTTTCGGGGGTTTTTTTAATATTTAATTTAAGTTATTAACTCCTCTGCTGGATATAAGTCTACCAGTAGGTACAAATTGGCATATATTTCTTTAAAAAAAATTATCTATACTCACCACACCTAAGGTCTTGGATTTAAGTCACTTATATCCTATCAGTCGTTTAGGTCACATTTGGAAAATAAGCTTGTATATTCTTCCCTACTCCATTCAATAATAATATAGACATAGAAGTTGGATTACGATGAAATTTTCCAATTTAACGTAGTATAGCAGCTGCAGCTATCTTGTGGTTATATCACGAATGGATTGGCTCGACTGGGGAAAGACCACGCTCTCACAGAATACCAACGTGAAGTGGCACTTTGATGCTGGTGCGTTTCACATGGTGAATGTAGAGAATCGGAGACCCCTTTTACGGTGACAACGTATATGCATTTTGATTCTTAATCGAGAACTGATGTTGATTTCTATGGGCCACAGCTTTCACTTAATATCAGGAGAGAATAATTGTCAATCTTATTCACTAAAAATAAAACTTTTAATGTGAGAAAATCAAGTGGTAAAATTAAAATTTTGCACAACCGACTTCAATATAAATAAAAGAACATCATGAATGTAATCGAAGTCAATTAAATACGCATTATTAAGGACAACTCAAAAATCACTGGTCAGATCTTAATCTTTATATGGGACCACATGAGAAGCATAAGTTTTCAAATAAAAAAAGTATCATCAAAATCAGTTCACCTAGAAAAAAGTACTGAGTTAACACGCATAAAAAATTAATAACCTCCTCCTTTTTTGGAAGTCGGTTAAAAAACTAAAGATACAAAAACAGTAGATATAAACAATATAGCTGCAGCATGGCTCTACGGGGTAGAGCCATGCTGCAGCTATATTATGGTTGTAGCACGAATGGGTCGGCTCGACCGGGGAAGGACCACGCTCTCACAGAATACCAGCGTAAAATAGCAGCTTAACGCTGCTGTGTTTCGTATGGTGAGTGTAGAGAACCGGAGATCCTTTTTACTGGCAAAGAGGCATTCCATCTTAGTCCTCACGGGTGACAACGCATCTGCATCTTGAGTCTTTATTGAGGATAGATGTAGATGTCTATGGGTCACAGTAACCACTTACCATCAGGTGGACTGTGTGCTCGTTTGTCACCCGAACCTATAAAAAAAAAGTAGGATACACAATAAACTGTAATGCATATTTTCATATTAAATATGATTAATTTCCAGATGAGATGGAGATATCGGGTGAGTACGAACAACGACGCCAGTAGGATATTAACACCTCACTGTACAAGTTACTGAATGTGAAAATCTATGAGAAATTACTAATAATAAATAAAGACATATATTTGGTGTTCAATGCATCGTGTATGGTGCTTCAGTTAATAAAATAGTCCATTTTATTTGATAATGTTGCTTGGATAGTAATGTAAGTGAAAAGATTGTGAATCTGTATTTGATTTTGTTATCTGTATATTAGAAATTACAGTCTAAATATCCCGAATACCACCCATCTCATTTTCATTTGCAGTTGCATTTTTGTCGCTTAGTAATTTTTAATTGTAAATTAGATATTATATTTTTTAAATTAAGGTCATATCTAACAGTAAGAGATTCAGTATAACGACTTTTGTCATTACTAATATTATTACATTAATAAACCAGTTCTATTTGTTTACTGCTAACAATATAAAGGAGGACTTATGTTATTTATCTATACCTCCATTTTTACAATAGTGTTAAATTGGCCTCTCTAAATAAACATGTAAATCTGAAAGTCTTGTTTATTTCCTTTATGTTATCGTATTCAAATTTAAAGGACACGATTTAGCGGCTTACGAACAGCAAGAATTAAATATATTTAAAAGGACAAAGTGAACAATTATCTGAATTATTGTGATTAGGTTAATGTTCACAATATTAAAAAATGGAGGATCACTGTCATTTTATTAAATTAAATTGTGTAAAACAAATTTTTTCAGCCATCTTCAGTTAGCATTTCTTCTACAGATATAATATGTACGACAGGCCACGCATGAAAGTTAATTAAATTTTTTTTTGGACGAGACACTAGCCAGATATATTTTCATTTTGAGAATACTGTTACAACAGCCAGTGTTTTTGGATGAGACACTGTACAGTTATAATTTATTTTGAAAATACTGTTACTATTTGCACGTGGTAGAGCCATGCTGCAGCTATATTAGTGGTATAGTTGTAGCATGAATGGGTCCGCTCGACCGGGGAAGGACTACGCTCTCACAAAATACCAGCGTAAAATAGCAGCTTAACGCTGCCGTCTTTCGTATGGTGAGGGTAGAGAACCGGAGACCCTTTTTACTGGAACCGAGACATTCCGTTTTAGTCCTCACGGGTGACGACGCATCTGCGATGTAGATGTCTATGGGCTACAGCAAACACTTACTATCAGGTGGACTGTGTGCTCTTTTGTCACCCTATTCCTATAAAAAAAAAACTACAGCCAGTTGCGTGTCGAATCACGTTGCACGAGAACATTCTCGAAGATAAGGGTCGCGATAGCGAACTCTACTCCAAGAAGCGATTACGAGTATTGGATCTTACATAATAGTATTAGGTCGTAGATCGATTCCTCACTTTACAGCACCAGCCCATATATGACACCTAGCACTCATGACAGGACTTGCGCTTTATATAGTGTAAGCAACTATCACGACGTGAAGTATTTTCTTTCATCTGTGGAAGAACACTTAACCATGACCATGACTCTATGAACCTCCCAAAATTCAGGTTCGAAGAAACCTCAACCCTAGCAACAGAAGGTGGTTGGTGAATTCAAATTATACATTTCGAAAAAAAGTAGCGAGGGTGAACTGGCTCCCTTTCGCGGTGAAGAGACATGATTGTGTTTTCGAAGTGTTCAACCTCACGAGATTGGCATCGCCCCATTCGGAGACTGCATGCAGTGAGAGATTTACACGCTCAACCAAAGCTACTCTTTCGGACTGAAAGGTCAGAGCATTCGGATGATATTCCTCCGCAACTGAGTTGTCATTTGCGTACCCATAGATACGAGATATGTATATTTGGATCATTGATATGCAACAGGAAGATAGTTACAGAGAGAACGGACCCATGACAAATTCTGGGATTAGTCGTTATAGGCTCGGAAGAGCAGCCTTCGACCATGTCTCGAATAAACCGTTCTCTCAAAAAGTCTTTCACCCACGTGAAGAGATTCAGGGAACAAGCCGTAAGCCGTAAGTCTACCGTGCCAGACCCTGTCACGGTAGATTTACGGGACGAACGATAAAGCATACCGTTTGGTTCGAATGTATGGTAAGTCGACAATGAAAGGTGGAGACTGGCCGAGCGTCCTCCTGTCCCCCGATTATGGCAGAATCCATACTCTGTCGCTAAGGAGGTCGGTCTGGTTTAGCTATGCTTTAAGTTGATCTTTACATAATATACGCTCCATTATCTTGCAGATTACGCACATTGGCCAGCTTCCAGGATTTGGGCATCATTTCAATTTCGTATGCCAACAATTGTCTTTGACACCCAGGGTTAACTGGTAGAGAATACCACATGACATTTAGTTCGCCCTGTGTACCCTTAACCATGATTTTTCTTAACCCTTTGACCATGATTTTTCGCACGTTCTTGTAGTAGGTGATCCACTTTTCATAATGTTTCATTACGTTTCAATAAAGAATCGCAAATGAGTAAGTAAGTACACGATTCATTAGATTTCTTTCAGTGAGCCCGTGTGGTACCCAAATACGAGGTTTTTTCTATAGCCACACTTTTTCAATTGGTTCAAAATTGTTTTGTGGCCAAGCCTTAATTCCTCGGCTATGTCGTAGCTACTAATATGCCAATCTTGCTCCACTTTTTCACAAATAGCATCGACTTTATCCGTATGAGGGCGAGCAGAGCAAGCTGCATCTTTGACGTCATCATTTCTCGACTGAAAACACTTGAACCAACTTTGTGCTACTCTTACTGACACTGCATTAGGCCCATAAACGCCACAATTTTTTTTCGTGACTTGAGTCGCATTTTTCCCTTTTTTGTAATAAAACTTCAGAATGTATCGAATTTCTTTGTTAGATTCACTCATTTCGGCGGCCAGAAAAATAATTGAAAAATAGCGGGAAAGTATTCTTTTACTTTTTACTTTTCTTTTTCTTAATGTTCTGTATGTATTGATATTAAAACCAGCCAGATACAAACAGTACAACCAAAAAGATTTTTTCTTCAATTTTATACAAACAAAATAGGAAGAAACTTTTTCCCCGACTCATTATAAAGTTTCTTATAAAATATCTTTTAAACACGCAGGTTTGTTCTGGATTGTCCTTCATCGCTGAGCACATGGTGAATAAGTGCTATAAATTTCTAAACAATTTCAGTGGTGCCGGTGGTACAATTCGGGTTGCTTATAAGCAACTTTACGGTGAACACTGAACTATTACTTTTATAGTTACACTATTAATTTTATAGTTGAGTTATTAATTATGTGTTAATAGTTGAGTTATTAATTATGTGTTACAAATGGATTTGAAATCATCGACACATGTACAATAAATTATTATACATAAATGATTATTAAATATACATATATGTTTGAGATTTAATAAATCATAGATAGTTGTAATAGCGCTGTTACAACTACCCACTAATCTTATTATTTTTACCTATGTTACTCTATGGTTTCATGATTTATTAAATCTGAAACATATATGTATATTTAATAATCATTTATGTATAATAATTTATTATATAGGTGTCGATGATTTCAAATCCATTTGTAACTTTTGTAAACTTTACATAGAAGAAACATCGCAACGTATTTCTCATATTCTCCTGGTCATTAGGAGTAGAGGGGCCCAAAGCACGGTGCTCTGTCGTCAATCCACAGGTATTTAGGTAGCGAAATAGATGAATGAGCTACTCAAGAAAAGCTGTCACCCCAGTCCCAAGACGGCTGTATTGATTGCTCAAAAAGAATCGAAAGACGGTTTCTAGGAGGGTTTTGATGTTTCCAGGTTTCTATTCTGATAGTGTCGTTGAGTTGTTCAACTGCAATTCTCCATCGCTAGTTTTCTCTTGAAAATTGCTGAAAATAAAAGGATATTTACCACGCTTGGCAAGCGAGATGACAACCGCTTTTTTATTTTTAGTCGTTATTAGGAAGACGCTGCTGCCCATCCTGATTTGTTTCCCTCTATCGTTTCTTACTCCTTAAAAGTGCATGATTTCAAGAGGAGTTTCAAAGCGCGTTCTAAGCCTCATCGAAGCTATTACGACTGACAAGTGACTAATTACCAATCAGTATTTGTTGATTCATCACAGGCAACACGCACTGGTTGTACAATCTTGTTTTCAAATTATTAGGTAACTTGACAAGAAGATAAGTCGTATTCTCCCGAACGAAGTTGGATTTACCTAGTCGGACTATTTGATGTAGGTAAACATACTCGTCGACAACTTCGAACATAGTGCTCCAACAACTAAAAGTGCTCCAGAAAGAGTGAACTGTCGAAGCTGAAGACCGAGTGTGGCAGCATCGTTTCCGGAACACCTGAGATTTTGAGTGAGATTGAGAGGTTCTATGCCATGCTGCAGCTATATTAGTAGTATAGTTGTAGCACGAATGGGTCGGCTCGACCGAAGAAGGACCACGCTCTCACAGAATACCAGCGTAAAATAGCATCTTAAGGCTGCTGTGTTTCGTATGGTGAGTGTAGAGAACCGGAGACCCTTTTTACTGGAAATGAGGTATACCATCTTAGTCCTCACGGGTGACAACGCATTTGCTTTTTGATTTGTCATCAAGCATAGATGTAGATGTCTATGGGCCGCAGCAACCACTTACCATCAGGTCGGCTATGTGCTCGTTTGTCAACCATATCGTATAAACAAAATCTTGCAAGGCTGCCACTCGAGAACTTTTCTCCTCCATCGTTTGTCGGTTTTTTGAGCTATATGGCCGGCCCATTGCCACTTCAGCTTACTATGTCGGTCACTCTGGTTCTACTGCGAATATCCTAATTTCTAAGTTTATCACGCAGAGAAACCTCGAGCATAGCCCTCTCTAATCTCCATAGCTCGCTGAACGACCTTGAGCGTCTTCAGCGAGCTTCGACAGAGGATCGAAGTAACCGATTATGAGTAAGGCAGAGATACTGGAAATGATCTTTTAACCGGTTCAGTGCGGATGGCACGCCAGGAGTGCCATCGATTACTTTTGTGTGTGGCGTATGACACACGAGTCGTGTCTTTTTAAAAATCGTTATAACTCGCTCAAATTGCGTTTTTGGAAAATTTATCCACAACAAAATATTCATTATTTTGCAAGTGGTTCATGCCTGCAGCTTCGTTTCTGAATATTTTGAAAATATGAAATTTTTACTTTTATTTTTACTTCGTCCGCGTTGCGTAAAACGAAAGTTTCTTCGATTTGTGAGTGTAACACCATAAAAAATGAATAAAACGCTCTGTCCAAGTGAGATTGAGTTATTAGTTAATCAGTAAAATACAGGTTACTCTGAATCAAGTATTTTTTATGATTTTGAGGAACCTCCTAAGGTGAAAACCTGTTCTAGCGGTTCCCTTATTACGCCAGAAGACTTGGGCTTAATATCTTCAGGATTAAATAATCAAGATGACGTTACGGAAGATTTATCTGATCAAAGCATCAGCATGCTCCATGCCGCTGAAGATCAGCGTATTGCGTCTGAAGATGACGTTACGAAGGCTTCATCTGATCATAGCATCAGCATACTCTA